TCGATGATGAATAAATACATCGCGATGAACCGACGCTAAATTTCACGAACAAGTTGGTCTCCTGCTCGTTGAAGGGTGCGGGGAACCGTGCGTTAAATTGCGCGTGAAACGCGAATATGCGTAGCGGCAGCCGCTTACTGATCCGTAAAAAGGCAACCTTCGCCGAATCATATGCTGTCGTTATCTCGCGAGGAAAGAGATCGCGAAATCGCGCGTCTAATCAACGCCATCGATGGTTGATTTCGGAGCTTCCATCTTACTTCGGGAATTTTTAATTTTCAAAGTCACCGAATCGAATTAGCGTCTAAAATTATTTAAAGCTTGAGAGGGATCCAGACATTAAAAAGTTGTGTCCTGCAGCAATTAAAAAGTCTCTCAGGGGAGATTAACTATAATAAAGTGCCTTTCTCCGTCTCTCGGGGGAGATGTTGCGAGAGATTTGCAAAAGGCTAATTGTGCGTCCCCTTAAATCGTTCCCCCTCGTCCCTTCTTGTAATTACTACATAAATACATCGGTCGCCGTGAATTTCGGAAAATTTCTCCCGGACGTCGCGAATTTTCATTTCGTGTCTCCTCGGAATCCCGCCGGCTGAAAATTAACGCGGAAAACCGGAAAAAAGGCGCAGCCCTCTAATTTAAGATCGCTCCCTAATCTCTTCTGCAATTAAAGTGCTACGCCACGTTCGTGAGAAAATTACGCGTAAAAGAATTCTCGTTAGAGCTCGTTCTTTTTACTATTCCCTGCCATCTCGTTATTCCCCGGGCCGGGCGTTTCAGCGTTCACGCCTCGTTTTTAACCTCTTGCTCTACTACGACGGCTCTTAGAAAATTCAACAAAGGGCCTGGGTGCTTAGCGCCCGAGTGAAACGGGTCAAACGTCGTCATACAAGAGTGATGACGTACGAGATATAATCGTTTTAAAACCACTCTCGCGTTTTAATTGGCAACCGGTGCGGAGATCTTTCATACTTGCATACGGTTCTCCTGTCGCAGGAGGAAATAAAAGCGATTCGATCGCAAGGTTATATATATATACCTACAAATAAAATGCAAATTGCTCGTGGAAGAAACGTCATTAATGCGCCATTATCACGTGTCATTAACGCGGTTTTTTTTTCGATTGTCTCGATTGCCACTTGCGAAAGTACTTGAGCGTCTGGTTTTTGAGTTCTACTTCCTTACACATCTACATAGTTTACGCTAGTATTATTTACTTTAAATATATTATATTTTTATTAGTTACTATCATAAATGTAATCGCAAGGATTTCATTTTAGGAGAAAGTAAGCGCTACGCGTGTGCCGGTCGAAAAAGATAAAAACAAAAAGAGAATACCGATAAAATGTATAAGAATTAACAATTGAAAAATTAAAATAGAAAATAAATTCGAATGACGAAGTATTTACAGCAACTATGTCCTGCTTTGTTTGTAAACTTTAAAATATCTCTTTGTGCTGCAAAAACGCAATTTTCTATAACTCTTATTAAAACAATTTCTCTTATATAGTTTCTCTTTTGAATACTTCGTCACTCGTGTAGAAGTATACACGCCGCTGAGAATCGACAAAAAAAGCCGTTAAAAATTTCATTCGCTTATGCTAAAAATGCGAAACGAGTGTGGAAAAGTAATCGAGAAGGGAAGAAATAAGGGCGAGAGAAAAAAAATAAAAAAAAAACTTAATCTACCAGTGAAAATCGACCATGGCACGGTTCTCGTGTATCGCGTGAGAGAGCGGGCAGTGCGAGTTGTATTTCTCATTATACACATATGAGTCCGGTCGTTGCTTTACCGGTAAAACGATTCCCGTTGGCGGTGGTATCCTTACCTTTTCGGACACTTCGCGAGGTCCTTTTTTTGAGTGGCCCCCTCAGTGTCCCACGATCAGCGTTTGCCCGTTAATCTCTCTCGCTCTTTCTCCCGACCGATCGATCGATCCTATCGGATCGACCATCTGTTCTTTCTTTTTCTTATATATATTTCTCTTTCTTTCGCTCGCTCTCTCTCTCTCTCTCAGATTTTTCAATCGATTATATTCAGTACGAGTCTCTTTCGCTCGCTCTTTTCTCTACCTTTTTACCCGCTCTTTCTCTCTCGCGCAGAAGCTCTCTATGGAACAACAGGAGATCTGCGTGAGACACGACTGTATTTTGCAATTGTCTTTCGTTTTTGTTCCGCTTTTGTGCTTTTGGTTAACTTTCTTTCCCATGGTAACCGAACCCAACACAACGGCCGGATCGTCCAACCGGCGGGATTTTCCAGCTCCTTTGTATGCGGTTCGTTTACTCGCCGTTCGACGACGACGACTATCGCGTTTGTTTCGCGTCCACCCCTTCAACTTCGCTCACTTTGCATTTCGGGGGAGGTGCCCCACCAACGCGGGATCTTCCTCTTCTTGTTTAACAAGGCTGATCTTAGCGACGACAATACTAACAGCGCGGATTTGTAGCGAGCATTTAAAATACGACAGCTCGACGTGACAGCTCTGAAATCCGCGTTGGCAAGCAACCCCGAATGCGGCTCTTTTTATTTGCTTTTAGTATACGAAGATCCCCCGAGGCGGAAAGATCGGCAACAATTTTGTCATACAGCGGTTTCCGAAATCCGTGGCACGCTGGAGATTTAAAGATTCGAGAAAAGTATACGCGACACGCGAGACTTCAGCTTGAAAATCAGCGTGATTTTACGAAACTGTCGCGCCATAGAATTCCATCGGTGCAGCGAATCGACGAGTCGCAAAAAGGTCAGGCTTTCAAGCTTTAATTGAGCCATTAAAGTCGCAATAAGACGGCCTGCCTGATCAAACGGACGCTATTATCGAACCGGAAAAAATCCGAAGGAGTAATCACTGGCCGTGATTCAAGAATATAATCCTATTACGTCCGAAAAGCAATATAATGACGACAGAGGAAGACGGCCGTCGCTATCTTCTCGAGAAGCGATTACTTTTGCGTCGACTCTTTTGACAGTAGTCCCAGACGTAAAAAAAAAAGTAGCAAACAAAATCTTCTCGTCAGCTGTACCAAGTTTTAATGAATTATCGGCGCGGGGAAGTAAATACGGACTTTCGTAGAAAATAATCGAAACATTTTCTCCGCGCATTCGCGTAATACCGAGCGATGTATTTCGAAGACGCGGTCGCAGGCAGCTAAATGAAGCTAAAGTGATGGTTTACGCGACACGTACGAGACTGGCACAGCCCGACAAGCTGCTTCAGCCGCCACGAGAAGATAATTAATCGAGTTGTTCAATTAGGCTGAACCGTTGTTGTTTGTTATCAGCATCGACGCAGCAGATGCTGCGGCCGTCGCGCGGTCAGCCGAGAGCTACGAAAAACTTGTACGCGATAATCAAAGTCGAGCGCTTGCCGTATTACGAAAATGTGTCCGAGGTTTTCAGTGAGAAAACCTGTGAAATTAATTCGCTGCACCGATGGAATTCTATGGCTGTAAAAACTTTTTTTTTTTAAATCGTTAACTGCACATTTTAAAGTTCAGAATTCTACACGTGCCGGTATTAAAAAAAAACCGAGACCAAGAAAGCGAATAAATGAAATGATCAATCGCTTTGCCGATTTAAATTTACGAAATTATTTATTACAACATATTTCTACTTTATAGTATACGTTGCATGTCATAATGAAAGTTTTAAAGTATCATTTCGACGTAATTGTTGCCACATCCGATCGCCTCGTTTATCTTCGGTCGGACCCGACGGAGCTTATCAAAATCAACTACCGTACGAGATACAGTTACTTCGACGACGACGCCAAGATATAATCTCTGAGCTCGAGACACGCTGATAGAAGGTAGAGTTATACGATTCCTCGCACGAGCGCACGTGTTCAACTGAACGGATTAAGGCCATATCGCGATAGAAAAACAACGAGAAAGAGAGAGAAGAAGAAGAGAGGAAAAGGCGAATATATCTACATGTACATATAAGCAAAATCCGTCTCGCGAACGGACCATCGCGGCGAGGAGGACTTTCTCCCGCGTACCGATTTTCACCGGCGAAGTGGCCGGCCAATCGCGAGCGAGGATTTGTGGATCACTCGAGGCCCTCGAGCAGAGATCGAGCCTCGCCAATCGGCGGCTCGCGCGCCACTCGTGGATCTACGAGTGGCCATCAGTCAGATTGATCCAGGCCACGAGAGAAATCTCTTTCTCTCGAGCCCCTGCGACCCCGAGATCGTTCCCCTTTCCCCCGTATCCTCTCCCCCCTCTCTCTCTCTCTCTATTTCTATCCGTTCTCGAGCCCGTGAAATTAACTCGCGTTTCGTTAATTATCGCATTATATGTTATACTCTTGCTGTCTCTTTTTCCCTTTCGAAACAAAAAGGCTCCGTCGAATCGCGATGTGGACTGTCGATAGCTCGAATCGTAGCCGCTTCGCGCAAAACGGTTCGCGTCTACGATTGCGTCGTCAGTCTGGCGTCTCGGAACTTCGATCGCACAGCGATTTACTCTAGTTTTATTTTCTTAAATCAATGACCTTCGCGTCGCGAGTGTCCATCTCGCGTGTGCCGTTCGTTCATCCAATGCGATTATATTCCAAAATGCAGATAGCATTCGCAATAAATAGAGATTCGTTATCGACATTGGGATTAACAGAGTAACCCTTCATTTAATTAACGTTCAATTAATTCGCCCGGTAAAATTTATAGCCACGATGAACACTCGGGACTCGATGTGCTCGACTTAAAACTAACGGGCGACCACTGACTTACTCCCGAGGAAAAATCGGAAACGTGTACTTAGAGGGACGGATTTATGAAATCCGTCGCGTAATCAAACCGAGTCGAGATTTAGACCGTGGTCGCCGCTTTATGTCGCGAGCGCGCGCATTCCGCAGAGGAATGCGCCCACTCGACTTTCCTGGAAAAAAAAGAAGAGATTACATCTATTTCATAATGGAGATTAATGGCGATGTATATATATATATATATATATATATATGTATGTATATATATATTTATAAGTATAAGAAAGTTCATGCACACCTCAATCTTTCTGCCCTCAACCACGGTGCCGTGTAGCCTCTCACGTGCCCGGTCCGCGTCAGCACTATTTGCGAATGTTACAAAACCGAATCCCTGCATGCAAGGACAGACAAAACAACATGCATTAAACTCAACTTACAGACTGCCAGCGCTCCGCAAAAAGCCGACTGGCTGGGCCGACATTTCGTCTCCGCGCGCGCGTGCACATGTAGCACGCGCGCGCGTAAATATGCATATACTCGTTTAGGTACATATATAATATATGTACACACTAAGTAGGGTGGGTGGCGGGGAGGAGGCGAAGGGTGGGGAAGGGCGTACATACATGTGAGGAATGCTCCGGAGAGGAACGTCGGGGCGCGACATCCGAGGGGTCAGGGGGGAAGGGGTTGCCTGATGAAAAAAAAGGCAGAGCCCACCGCGTCTCGCGTTACGACGATTTCATTTCGTTTAATGCGGTAAAGAGAGAGCGCGCGCGCGCGTTTCCGTCGATTTTATTACATTTTATTGCAGTATTACGCCAAAAATTCGAGAATTATTTTTGAAGCGCAAGAAAAATTCGTGTTAAAAGATTTATCACGTTCGAAAGACACAAAAATATATAGCTTCTCTCCCGTCGCGAATTACATTTGCGAGATACACTTTTTGATCATTTAGTTGCTTCCTCCGATCTTCGAATGGATCCTTCGAGGCGCGTGAAAACGGAGTATCGAACAGGGGAGATCAATCCCGTTCTCATTGAGGACTAGACGGAAGACGTAGAGTAGAAAGCTCGATTCTTCCGTTTCGCCGCAGGCAACACCGGCCGCAGCTCCTTTGTGCTCCTCTCTTTCTCTTTGAACCCTTCCATCACCCTCAGCCCTACCGGCGTACCTCCTCCGAGCCGGCCCTATTTATTTCTTTTGACGCACAATGGCCGTCTCCCTCGCCGGACCGTTATGTATCGCGCGAGACACGCTAATTAATTCCCGAGGCTCCCTCGAGACGCGACGAAGCGACAGAAGCCTCCGTGGATATTCCGTTTTTTCTGTTATTTCCCGTCGATCTCGCGCTCCTTTTATTCTACCGCGAAAGCTGAAATGAATGAGCCAGCCATCCATTTATTCGTATCCTGTAATCCGCGCTTCTTTATTTCACTGTTTCGGAATTCTAAGAACTCGCGCATTTAATGTCTCTCAAAAACAAAAACCGAGTTTCTGGAATCAAATAACCATGAAGAAAACACATCGATTTTAGAGAAATAAATTTTAGCGATTACTAAAAAGTTAACTGTAAAAATATTTAAAACATCGAAGTTCAATCACATAATGGTATATATAGCTGCCTGGATCTTGCCATATTAAAAAAATTGTGAAACATGTATAAAAAGGATAAAGTGAGTAAATTAATTAGTCTAATTAACAATAACATTGATGTTTCGATTTTCATGAAAATGAAAAGATTACAATTGACTCGGGAAATCGGATTCTTACTTTTTCGGGCCAAGGGCTTGAAAGGGCTTGAGAGTTGCTTTTAGAATGTCGAAGGGACTCGCGGGGACACATTCGCACAAAAGTTCCTCGTTATTTCACGGGATGTGGGGGGCACTTTTTCGAAATGTCGACGACCAGGGGGTCTGCGAGCGCCTCATACTGCTTACGGAGACGCACCAAACAACGTGCAACAAATAAGTAAATATAAAAATCATGGTAAGAAATCATGGTCATGATCACATTAATCATCTCATTATCATATCATATCATATCGTATCATGTCATATCACGGTCATCGTCATATCATTAAAGACTCTTGCTTGTATCGTGAGGTGCGTGTACGAGAAAAGACAGAAATTAAAAAAAAAAGTTGACTTGATGAGGTTAGATATGTGAAGGAGGAGGGGAACGTGGAGGACAGAGAGAGAGGGCGTGTCGTGTATGTGTGTGCGTGTGTGTGCCACTGTACGCGCGTGTGGATTTTCCCCGTCGACGCTGAGAAGCGATAAGGGATGACGAGAAATCGAGCGGGAGGCGTAAAAAAAGATTAGAATCGTGATCGTTGTCGAGAAGGGCCCCACCCTCTCTCTTATGCTTTTTCTCGATTCGGAATATATATGCGGCAATATCGCGCGGACGTATATGAATGGAAGAACTTCGCTAGGGAGGCAGAGAGAGAAAGAGAGAGATCGATACCTATACGCGGCACGCTCTCACGCATCGCGAGTTCCGCGCGAAGGAAGAGCGCGATCGATTGCGCCTGCCACCGGAGTGTCCGCTCGCTTCGAGCACGCAGTCAAGTTTTCCCCCCAACCCTTCCGTAGCCGCCGTAGATATCGTGCCGCGATAACCCCGCTGTCGACTCAGTTGAACGTTATCACGGCGTAAGTTCTCTCTCCCTTTCGAATTCATGAAGTCACCGGAATAATACCGAAGTGCACCGTCGACCGTTATCATCAAGTGTCGTGACCTCGTTATTAACACTTTTGCAATACCTCTTGAAGATCGCTATAGTTATATTACCATAAAACCGAATGAAATGAACTAAAAATACTAACCAAATCGTCACATAAAATTTTAGAAGCTGACGTGTGTGATTGAGCATATGATTTAATTTAATTTAATATTACACTTATCGATATAAAAAAGAATTTACGGAAATGTATGACAGATTTTAGATAGAGAATAATTAAAACGAGTAAATGTATTTTTAATTTCCGCCAATTCGTATCCATAAAAATAACGAAATGGTCACAGTAACATGTGAAAACATGTATAAACGACTTTCAGGCTTTTTAGAAATCCGAATGCGTATAAATACGTGAGCAATCGTGATAGTGTCGAGGAAAAACGATGGTGATTGATTGCGCTGTCGTGGACCGTCAATTTTTAACGCATTTCTCCGGATAACGTCACATCAATCTTATCATAACTTATGTCACTCCTATTAAATGTTGAAACTCCGCCAAATCTGTGCTTTCGAATGGAGACAAACCAAAGTTAAATTTCTCCTGATAACTAAGATGAAAATTATTACAAATCTCAATCTCCCCTCAGGCATCATTATTAAAGGTATCAAAATTCGCGCGAAATTCCGCGGTATTTCACGATTTCGCCTGCGGCACTGAAATCGGAGATGCTTTTATCGTTAAAAGGATTAATTGAAGTTCGGAGCAAGCTAACAGAATAGCGGCTTCTTCGTCAGCGGGTGAAAAAGGACGGCAGGATAATCGAGTTCGCCGCGGCCGCGCCATCCGTTTTCGCTCTCCTCGGATCACGGAGAGCTGTTGGCCGGGAGTGGTTACTAGCTGCGGCTGTTACCGCGAAAAATCGCATTAAAGCCAAATCAAATACGGCCTCGGGGGCGGAAGGCTCGGTCGGAGCGAAACGGCGAAGCGCGAAGTTTTCTAATCAGTGACGAAGGATTCCCGTTCGCTCCTCGAAATGCCGCGGAAAATGCGATTTATGGGTCGAACGTGGCGAGACTGGAGTTAGCGAGCGTGCACGCGCGTGCGAGGTCGGACCTGCGCGATATTTCAAAGTCATCAGCTTAATCCGGCGTCTCTATACTTAATAATCCGCACCGCCGAGCAATACCTCCTTGCCTTAATAATCGATATTTGCCACTCGTTATCGAATAATGGACATAGAATATGGAAACATAAAGAAACGACGGAGACAATTTTGTACAAGTCACGTAAAAAATAGAATAGGTTGGACAGCTTCGAGGATCAATAAACGCGAGTTTATTTCAACAATTTCGTTAACAATTATTCGTAAACGCATAGTTAAATTACAGCTGGGGGTCTCGTTAGCCTAACACAGTACGGTGTATAACAATACGTCAATTATCGTCGAACGAAAGGGACCCGGCGCCTCAAAGAGTTAACTAGATCCAAACAGACAAGATATACACGGGCGATTCCTTTGTAACCGGAAATGAACGTCGCAGGGACAACGGACCGGCGCGAATAATTAACGATACCGTTGAGCCCTTTGCGTGGAGAAGTTAACACATGTGCCAGCGTTTTTTTTCGCGGCCATCACTTTAACTAAAGTGTACCCGATGACTGTCCGTAATTACGGCATTTTTTGTCGAGATATTACTAAGCAGAAAAAAATAACAATAGAAAAAAAAATATATATATATGTTACTTCCTTCATTCTATACCACAAAACAGTTGACGTTCATGGAAATAGCAGATGTTAAGATAAGTGCATTTTACTTAGTAATGTAAACGATTATACAAAGCATTATATAGATCTCTTTCTTAGCTATTTTTCTCTCTTAAATTAATCAACGGGTACGTTACATAAGAAATAGCTCAGACGCATCCTGCACAATTTATTAGACTTTGAAAATTTAAAAAGGTCAAAAGTCATGTCTCTCGGTGTGGCTCTTAAATTCCAATTGTATCTCTATCTTCTTTATCGTGTACATAATTCAAAAATGCCTCGGTATTCTACAAAATAATTTTCTCTCTCAAGTATTTTATTCGCGTAAAATGTTTATAAACCGGTGACGTTGTTGCTAATAAAACTGCGATTCGCAACTTCTGTGACTGTTTCTAGCTTCACGAGCCGCGGCGTGACTCGAGCGTAAGATGACATTCGCTTGGGAAATTACTGTAATGTCAATGATCGCGCGGACGTATCGATATTTTTTAGGACTCGAGAGCAAAGATATACGGCGCGAGAATTGCGAGAACCGCAGCAGAATTTATTTGCATATCCAATGCATACGCAACGACTTTTTCATCGCGCGCGCGCGCTCATGAATTCATTTCGGACCGTTAACAGTTTAGGAGACCGCGTCGCTGTCGAATTCCCGTTTCTCATTTTGGCAAAATTGTGGTATGAAAAAAAAGTAAAATGTAATGTTCGAATTATCGTGTCCCATTACGAATATTACGGCATATCATTATCGTAATATTCTTAATTTGAGAAAATGTGTCGAAATCCATAATCCAAATTTTCACGATGCGACAGATCTTGTCGCATCTGGCACTAAAATTCTAATGCTTTTTTTACTGAGTCTGAATGATAAGTTTAAACTTGGACAAAATAAAGTATGATAGATTCGTGATTAAAGTCTCATTTATGTCAACATCGTGATGTATC